AAGCAAACATTGACTAAGCTGATCGACTTCTCTACAAAAATGAAGCCCTTGGAACACGTGGGGTATCTGACCCCGAGGATCCTGGGCGCGTGGTTCCTCCCCTCCTGGGGCCCATAGTGGACGCCTTCATTTTTCATCGAGATTTCGACCTGCCTCAGTGCGTGAATTTAGGCAAGCAGTCCAGTGCCTACGATTTCTTGTCGACCAGGGCGTTGACGGTGGACCCAGGCTACGACTGGCCGAAGATCTCACCTGCTGGTGTTTGGATGTGGGATACAGCACCCAGCGGACGCTTCCTTGGTCCCCTGATCTGCATCGACGGCTCGGGATTCGATGGAGTGCCCACGTATGCCGCCCGTGCAGGTTGGGTTGTTGCCGCAATGGATCGGAGCAGCCATGCATCGGGAAGTGCATGCGGTCCGTTGCCGCACCCCGTCCAGGAAGTTGGAGCTGGAGAGTTGTATGCGTTGCTAATGGCGCTCAAGTTGATCGGCCCTTCCCTGAACGTCCAGATATACTCAGATTGCCAGGCTGTCTTGGACGTATGGGCCCGAGGGCCATAGGTGGATTTGTCGGATGTTGCGTTCTCGGAGGTTTGGGAGCAGGTTCGGGAGCGAGTTCGCGATATTGGTCAAGATCTGATTTGCCTGCAACAAAGAAGAGCCACATGTCTTGGAGTAGGTGCTCTGAGACCTCGGAGGCCCCCCATTGGGCCTGGGTGGGTAATGACATAGCTGACCGTCATGCTAAGCGCGGGGCCCAGGAACACCCTTGCAATCCTCGCCTCCGCGCCCTTCAGAAACAAGGGCGCTCTGAGGTGTCAGGCGTCAGTAAGCTTATAGCCTGTTTCGGGGAAGTGTTCAGTAGGCGTAATTACCCTGGTGTTCAGAAGTGCAAGGCCCCCCCCCCCCCCCCCGCCCACAAGCACGACCCACCCGAGTTGGTTTGTGACAGGAATGGCACGCCCTCCAAAGGATGGGGGCGAAGGGGAGAGGAACCATCAGATGTGTGAGATGCGGGGCCTCGGGATTTGGGGAATCTGCTGTGTGCGCTCTGGGGTGTGTTGGCATCCCGAGGTTGGCCTGGCTCGCCCACCCCAGCCAGAAGCTCTGGATTAATGGTGGGCGTGTGGTCTGGTGTAGAGAGCGCGCTGCTTTCGGGTCTGTGAAGCTGTGCCTGTTGGGGGGGAGGTGTCTTCAAGGGCCCCCCCAACAAGCCAGCGGTGAAGACACTGAAGCAGCTAAAGGAGGGGAAGGATCCGTCCTCTAAATCCTTCGTTGGTCGGCCTGTACCCCTCCATTTGCGGTCGGGGCCTTGGCGGTGAGGGATCGCTCGCCTGCTGGCCTTGGCCTCGTTTTTCGCGTCGCTCGTTCGTTACCCGCCTCCCTGCTCTTTCGTCTGAACGGATTCGGTTGCGCAAGGATCGACGGGATCGACAGGAAGAGGAGGAAGAGGCATATGAAGGGGAGGGAGGATGTTTACAGCATCGTCTGAGGACGTTGAGGGGTGTCTACATGAAGCCCGTGGGATGGAGAGAGGACAAGGAGGAGGAACAGGAAGAGGAGGAGGAGGAGGAGGAGGAGGAGGAGGAGGAGGAGGTGGAAGAGGAGAGGAATGGCAAGAGGAGACTTGGAGCAGCTTCTGAGGAGATCGATGGGGGGTCTACACGAGATCCCCCTGGGAAGGAGGGGGAGGAGGAGGAGGAGGAGGAGGAGGAGGAGGAGGAGGAGGAGAGGAGGAGGGAGGAGGAGGGGCATTTAGGAGGCCACTGTGCCCCGGGGATTCCCTCATCTTTGGGAGGGCCAAGGCCGATCCCTGTAGGCCCCTGTTGGCCTGGAGGCTGGAAGGCCGTCCTGCGCAGCGCAGCGCTGGCCGCGACGCCTCCAGGCTCCTCGAGGGCGACGTGGCCCTCGAGAGCCCCGAATGTGAGGAGGATGAGGAGGCGGAGGAGGAGGAGGAGAAGGAGGGGGAGGAGGAGGAGGAGCAGGAGGAGGAGGAGGAGGAGGAGGAGGAGGAGGAGGAGGAGGAGGAGGAGGAGTAGGGCGATGACGACGACGACGACGACGACGACGACGACGACGACGACGACGACGACGACGATGACCACGACGACGAGGCCGAATGTAGAGCCAGGGGCCCCGTCGGAGGACACCTTGGTCGGAGGGCCCTCGGCATACGGGGTTCTTGGCGGCCGCGGGGGCCTGTTGCTTGTGCCAGGGCGGTTGGACGAAAAGCCGCATCCTTCCCCTTCCCCACCGCCTACTGGAAGCAGGAAAATGAGAAAATTAGCCTGGCGAAGAACCCAACAGCCTATGGGGCCACGAAGCGTGTGAGGGGTGTGCCAAGATGTTTGCGGTGGCCGCATGCGAACGCTGGCATTTGGGCTTTCGGTGGGGCTCCGTGTGGGGCCACGAAACATGTGCGGGGTGTGCCAAAATTGGTGCGGTGTGGCCGCATGCGAACGCTGGCATTTAGGCCTTCGGTGGGGCTCCCTAAGGGGCCGCGGAACGTGTGAGGGGTGTGCCAAAATGGTTGACTGGTCCGGAGGGCAGAGGCAGGAATCGGAGAAGGAAGGGAAGGGAGGAGGAGAGGGGAGCGGGAGGAGGAGGAGTGAGAACGCGGGGCGTTGTTTTCAAAACGAGGACCCAACACAACAGGATGGTTGGGAAAAAGGCAAGGGTTGTAGACATGACTAAGGACGAGGAAGGAGAAGGCGGAGGGATGAATAGGAGGAAGAGAGAGGATGAGGGAGGATGAATAAGGAGGATGAAAAGCGTAGGGGGCGGGGGGGAGCTTCGAGGAGGGGGGACAAAAAGAAGGAGGAAGATGGGAAGGAGACCGCAGGAGGAGGAGGAGGAGGAGGAGGAGGAGTTTGGATGAGTAGCAGGAGGAGGGAAGGAGGGGGAGGAGCGGAGATTGACATGGGAGGGGCAGATGGGGATGAGGGGGAAGAGGGGGAGAGGGAGGATCGAGAGGATCAGGAGGAGGGTGAACAGGAGAAAGACGAGAACAACGAGGCAGAAGACGAGGAGAAGGAGGAGGAGGAGGCAAGGAGGCGGAGGCAAGGAGGAGGATGACGACGAGACGAACGACGACGATGTCAACAGGAGGGAAATTGCTGAATGGATGGATGGATTAATGGACGGATGGATGGATTGATGGATGATTGGTTGATGACGATGTTGAGGTGGTGATGTTGATGCTGATGCTGATGCTGATGAAGATGATGCTGATGCTGTTGATGATGTGTTTGCTGATGATGGTTTGTGATGATGATGATGCTGATGGTGATGATGATGGCGATAAGAATGAAGATGCTGATAATGACGATGACGATGGCGATGCTGATGATGATGATGGTGATGATGCTGCTGATGATGATGGTGGTGGTGATGATGCTGATGATGATGCTGATGATGATGATGGCGGTGGTGATGCTGCTGCTGATGATGATGCTGCTGATGCTGATGATGATGATGACGAAGATGATGATGGTGATGATGATGACGAGGATGATGCTGATGATGATGATGATGATGATGATGATGATGATGATGATGATGATGATGGTGATGGTGATGGTGACGGTGGTGGTGGTGGTGGTGAAGAGGACGAAGACGAGCTGAGCATGAGGATTAGGATGAGGAGAAGGAGGAGGACTAAATGGAGGAGGGCGACTACAAGTGAGGCAAGAGGAAGGGGGAAAGGAGAGAGTTAGAGAGGATGATGCCAGGTCGAGGAGGAGATGGTGGCTGAGGCGAAGGAGGAGGAGGAGGATGAGGAGGAGGAGTAGGGGGAGGAGAGGAGCAAGAGTGGAGAGGGGAGGAGTGGAGCGAGGAGGAGCGAGGAGGAGGAGGAGCGAGGAGGAGGAGGAGCAGAATTGGATTGGATTGGCCCCTTCGCGTTGCGAAATCACAACATCCTATGGCCGCCCCCTGAGCGCGAACAAGAAGAAGCCGAACCAGAGGACGAAGGACAGGAAATACAGGAGCCAGAGGAAGACGACCACTGCCGCGCGTACCCCTGATGAATCCCTCACCGCACACTGAGAACAAGAACAGGCTAAACTGAGATGAAGTCGGCTCGATACGGCCCTGTCAATGATGAGCAAACACCACTGGTCACTGGGCAATTTTGTCCCCGAGTAAGCTCGCGAAAGCAGCACGGTTACTGAGCTCGCCTCCTCCACAGACAGCCTCGCCAAATACCCATACCCAAGGCGCAATTTCATTATTCCAAACCTGTCATTGCACAAGGACTCACACACATTGCTATGGCACTGTGCACGGCCACTGGGAAAATTAAAACATGCCCAAGCACAAAGGGAGTACATGCCCAGCACCTGACAGGTCCAAAAGGCAAGGTATAGAACCAATGCGAGATCCACCAGCAACAAGCTGTAATACCCTCCCCTGGCGGCGATGGGGGACTCCAGCGCTGTAGCTGGCGAAACTCATAATTCAAAGAAACTTATTCGAAGCCACCAGACACGACAACAGAAACGAACTGCAATACCCTCCCCAGGCGGAGACGGGAGATTCCAGAATGGTAGCTGATGGGGCCTGGCTCCTGCTGGGCGTGTAACACAAACAAGCCAACCCACTCCCCATGCGGCAGTGGGAGAAAGACGTTGACACTGAAGCTGACGAAACCGGATAACAGCCCCAGCGCTGTAGTTGATCTCTTGACGCTAAGAGCTTGCACCCCTGACAGCGACAGGGTCTTCTGCCACTGTTTGCTACACTCTCTGACCGTAGCTGACTGTGAAATTCGCTTCCCTTCTTCACTAGGAAGGGCTGAAAGCTGCAACTGCGAGACAACAGCTCGCAACCACTGTCCAGCTGCCCTGGTGTCCCCCAAGCGCCGACGAGAAGGCCGGAAGCTGGCTTGAGCCAAAATGGCTACGGAGGAGGAGGAGGAGGATGTTGTGGACGACGACAACGACGGCGGCGGCGGCGATAACGAGGTGAAGGAGGGGGCGGGCGGCCCACGCCACTCAGGGTGGGCCCTCGCGGGCGCCCTGCTCGGCGCCGCGCGGCGCGCCGGTACCACCGCCTCCCGCCGCCTCAGACTCGGGGGGCAGGAGGAGGAGGAGGAGGAGGCAGGGGGAGGGGGAAATCTGGGAAGGAGGGGAGGAGGAAGGGGAGCAGGAGAGAGATGGTGATTTGGAGGAGGAGGGAGGAGGAGGAGGAGGAGGAGGAGGAGGAGGAGGAGTGTCGGCACGGGAAGGAGGCTTGATAAGGAGCCGCCCTCCACGCCTGTGGTTGTTGCGAGCGTTCAAAGCGATTTTGCGCGGCGCGATCGCGGGAGTACGGCGAGAGCCCAATATTGATTAGGAACCGTCCTCCACCCGCGTAACTGGTGCCAGCTTTGAAAACCAATCTGCGCGGTGCGAAGGGGAGAACTTGATGTTGACAACCGCCCCCCACCCTTATGACCAGTGCGAGATGTTCAGGCCTATGTGCCGGGCGCTAGTGCGAGAACCCTTTTGTCAAAACCCGCCCCTTCCATCCTTGTGATCGCTGCACGATGAGTATGCGCGGCGCTGGGGGGAGAGTCTCAGTTTGAAAAGGAACCGCCCTCTACCCTTGTAGCCGTTGGGACCGTTGGGAGCTTCTAAAGCGAACGTGCGTGGCGCTGAGGCGATATCCCCATGTTAGCCAGCGTGATCCACAAGCAGTGTGTCTTAGCCCTAGCATTCTCTGCAGGCGATGCAGCCTACGCAGTGTAACGTACGGAGTGCAACCCATGCGCTACCAGTCAATGCGGGGAAACATGTTCACAATACATTCGATGAGTTACAACTTTCAGTCGCACCATATTGGTTGCACCATGCTATAGCTGAGCTACTTCCTTCTGTGCGACGATATGCTAAAATAGGTCATGTGAAGCTGAGCTGGGATATGATATGCAATGCTGCGGTGAGCTGTGCTATGCGTGGCTATGCTATGCTATGCGAGTGGACAAGTGCGAGTGTGCGAGTGCAAGTGGTGGCGACAGGTCTCGACGGATGGTGACGAACCAGCCAGACTGGCACCAGGGCTCTGGGGCCCAGAGCAAGTGGCGGCGACGGACAGCGGCGACGGGCGGCGACGAGTTGGCCAGACCGGCGCCCGGGTCCAGTTACCTTAGGGCATAAGTGCGAGCATTGTTCGAGGAATTTTGCAAAACAGTCGCCTGCGTTTATACTGTCGCAAATTCGCACAATGAATGTGCATGAGGCGATGGTCCTAACCCCATGCCCATGATAATAATGTTACCCCCCCCTTAAGTCGTTAGAGTTTTTTATCGTCGACCAATAAGAGTTTGGTCGGGGGCGCGGGGGCGCGGAGGCCGAACTTCATTATCACGGGGAAAGTTCGCCATCGAAGTTACTTCCTTCTTATGTTGAGATAACAACACCAAGCGAAGCGAACACGTTGATTCAGGATGTCTCAAGCGAAACCAATGTCCTTCTGTCTCTTTGTAGTTCTTTCTGTCTCTCTTTCTTTCTTTCTCTGTCTCTCTTTCTCTCTCTCTCTGTCTCTCTATCTCTTTCTCCTTCCTGGCCTCTCTGTCTCTCTCTCTCTGTCTCTCTATCTCTTTCTCCTCCTCCTCCCCCTGGCGCCCTGAACTTGTTTATCGCTGGGGTTGATTATCCAGGGAAAACGAGGCACGTGAGCTACCCTACACGAGCACTTAAAAAATGTAATGTTCATAAAGCGCTTGTCAATAAGATTTAATACATTTGAATCCTCAGTTTTTTTGTTTTATCCTCCTTTCCTCTTCTCTTTATCCTTTTCATTTATTATTCTACTTTTCTTTTTAGATATATATTCTCTATTTAAGTCCTTCCTTTCTTTTTCTTTATGATGTATCTCTCTCTTTCTCTCTCTCTCTTTCTCTCTCTCTCTCTCTCTCTCCATGCCCCCCCTCTGAACTTTTTTATCCCTGGGGTTGATTATCCATGGAAAATGAAGCACATGAGCTACCCTACACGAGCACTTACAAATTTTAATGTTCATAAAGCGCTTGTAAATAAAATCTAATACATTTGAACTTGAGATGTTTCCTTCTCTTTCTCCTCCTCCTCTGTTTTCTTTTCTTTTTGATGTTTCCTGTTTCTGTTTCATTTCTTATTGTTTCTTTTTATTTTTGTTTGTGTATATCGCTTTCTCCATTCCTCCGCCCGCCTGAACTTTATTATCGCCGCGGTTGATTATCCAGGGACACCGAGGCGGATGAGCTATTCCGAGGATGTCTCAAGCGAAACAAGCATATACTCGAGGATGTCTCAAGCGAAACAAGCATATACTGAAGGATGTCTCAAGCGAAACGATACGTTTCTTAAGCGAAATAAGCAATAGTTTGACGGTGTCTCAAGCGAAATAAGCAACAGTTTGTGGATGTCGCAAGCGAAACAAGGGATTTGTCGAGGATGTCTCCAGCGAGATAAGCCATTGTTGAGGATATTTCTATGAAGACTGAACGCCAAGGATGTCTCAAAACGTGCTCGGCTTGGTCTCCTCTTGATCATTTCTTACTTCGAGATTATGCTGAGGTCTGTTGGGCTACTTTGATTATCTCCCCCTGAACCCCGAACTTTATTATCCCCTAGTGTTTATGCTCACGGGTTAGCGGTTATTTTGACACCTCCACCTCCATCTTGATAGCTGTGGCAAGCTTGCAGACGAATGTGCAGCCGGATGTCTAGAGCCCCATTCCACCACCCTTCAATCGTTGTAGCCGTTGCACATGTCAAGTTTCAGGATGATGCGTGCTGATGAAGTCTCAAGCGACATGGCAAGCCCGCCCCACCGACCCGTATGGGGGGTACGCCAGAGAGGGTTGTATATAGGAGAAGGCATGGAGGAGCGGGGGAGTAATGAGGAGGCAGAGGAGGGAGGAGTCGAGGATCGACCATATATTTCCCAACCATCCTGTGGTGTTGGATCCTCGTTTTGAAGAGACGGTCCCCGCGTTCCTTCTCCTTCTCCTCCTCCTTCTCCTCGCCCTCCTCCCTCCAGGGTTCGCATGCCTCCCCACCACCCATTTCGGCACACCCCTCACACGTTTCGTGGCCCCATAGGGAGCTCCACCGAAGGCCCCAGTGGCTGCGTTCGCATGCCTCCCCACCACCCATTTCGGCACACCCCTCACACGTTTCGTGGCCCCATAGGGAGCTCCACCGAAGGCCCCAGTGGCTGCGTTCGCATGCCTCCCCACCACCCATTTCGGCACACCCCTCACACGTTTCGTGGCCCCATAGGGAGCTCCACCGAAGGCCCCAGTGGCTGCGTTCGCATGCCTCCCCACCACCCATTTCGGCACACCCCTCACACGTTTCGTGGCCCCATAGGGAGCTCCACCGAAGGCCCCAGTGGCTGCGTTCGCATGCCTCCCCACCACCCATTTCGGCACACCCCTCACACGTTTCGTGGCCCCATAGGGAGCTCCACCGAAGGCCCCAGTGGCAGGGTTCGCATGCCTCCCCACCACCCATTTCGGCACACCCCTCACACGTTTCGTGGCCCCATAGGGAGCTCCACCGAAGGCCCCAGTGGCTGCGTTCGCATGCCTCCCCACCACCCATTTCGGCACACCCCTCACACGTTTCGTGGCCCCATAGGGAGCTCCACCGAAGGCCCCAGTGGCTGCGTTCGCATGCCTCCCCACCACCCATTTCGGCACACCCCTCACACGTTTCGTGGCCCCATAGGGAGCTCCACCGAAGGCCCCAGTGGCTGCGTTCGCATGCCTCCCCACCACCCATTTCGGCACACCCCTCACACGTTTCGTGGCCCCATAGGGAGCTCCACCGAAGGCCCCAGTGGCTGCGTTCGCATGCCTCCCCACCACCCATTTCGGCACACCCCTCACACGTTTCGTGGCCCCATAGGGAGCTCCACCGAAGGCCCCAGTGGCTGCGTTCGCATGCACTCACACCCCCATAGGGAGCTCACCCAGTGGCTTCGCATGCACCACCCATTTCGGCACACCCCTCACACGTTTCGTGGCCCCATAGGGAGCTCCACCGAAGGCCCAGTGGCCGCATGCTCCCCACCACCAATTTCGGCACACCCCTCACACGTTTCGTGGCCCCATAGGGAGCTCCACCGAAGGCCCCAGTGCTGCGGCAAGGCCACCCATTCGGCACACCCCTCACACGTTTCGTGGCCCCATAGGGAGCTCCACCGAAGGCCCCAGTGGCTGCGTTCGCATGCCCACCCCCCATTTCGGCACACCCCTCACACGTTTCGTGGCCCAATAGGGAGCTCCACCGAAGGCCCCAGTGGCTGCGTTCGCATGCCTCCCCACCACCCATTTCGGCACACCCCTCACACGTTTCGTGGCCCCACAGGGAGCTCCACCGAATGCCCCAGGGGGTGCGTTCGCATGCCGCCCCCACACCAACTTCGGCGCACCCCTCACACGTTTCGTGGCCCCATAAGGAGCTCCACCGAAGGCCCCAGTGGCAACGTTCGCATGCCGCCCCCACACCCATGTCGGCACACCCCTCAAACGGTTCGTGGCCCCATAGGGAGATCCACCGAAGACGGTATTCACACCAACATTACTCACAACTGCATATGGTTGGGTCCTTCGGCAGGCTATTTTTTTTGTCGGCTTGCGAGGGGGGTCGATGACCGAGGGTAATCATCGGTAGGAAGTGGGCGGAGAGGTGGAGGAGGAGGAGGAGGATGAGGAGGAGGACCAGTGTAAACCTAAGACTTATCAGCGATGTTGGAAAACACCCTCCCTCCAAGCTTCCTCTAAACGGGCCCCTACAAGTGTTCATTTCCACGGAGGGAATTGCCCATGTTGGGGGACAACCGTGTAAAACTCCTGCAGCGTGCCCAAACACCATTCTCAGGACTGCAGCGCCGACCTGGTTGTGACGGCTGATGGACAAAGTCCTGCACCACCCGCGCAACCGGGGCGACGGCGCAAACTTCCACGCGCCCCCGTGCCCCCGATTCAATGTTTATTGGCTGCGCCCGCGGGGTGCAGGTTTTAGGCCAGTCGGCCGATCGACAAATCTCAGCCTGTCAATATTACATTGGAAACGCGGGGGGCGACAACACAATTCAGAAAAAGGTGCAGGATGCTGTCCATCAACCGGAGGTCTTGGCGATCCTGAATCGTGCCAGAGGTTCGTGGGACTTCAACACAGCGAATCATCGTAACTGTTGCGCCCTGACAATCGTAAACCGGAGCCACCACACCGTTGCTGGTACGGTAGCCATGAGAATTCGTGAAACTGTTGCGAACTGTTAGGACGAATGTGGCGGCGCTAAGGCGAGAGGCACATGTTGAAAGGGAACTGCCCTCACATCGTGAAGCTCTTCAACAGTATAAGGCGAATCTGCGCGGCGCTAAGGCGAGAGTCACATTTTGAAAGCGAACGGCCCTCAATCCGTGACATTCTTGCGAATGTTTAAAGCGAGCGCGTGCTGCGCTAAGGCGAGAGCCGCATTTTGAAAACGACCCGCCTTCAGTTCGTGAAACTCTTGCGAATTGTTAAGACGAGTGTGCGCGGCTCTAAGGCGAGAGCCGCATTTTGACAACGGCCCGTCCTCAATCCGTCAAGCTCTTGCAGTTTTCAAGACGAATTTGCGCGGCGCTACGACGAGAGCCACAGTTTGAAAACCACCCGCCCTCCATCTGTGAAGCTGTTACCAAGTTTAAGTTGTAGGGTCACACATAGTGACGAAGTGTCAGGCGAAACGCCTGGACCGCCCTTTCGACCGACCTCACGGTGCGACAGGGAGGAGTTATTCATAAGGAAAATGAGTGGAGGAGGAGAAGGAGAAAGAGAAGGGGAAGGGGCAATAGGAAGAGGAGGAGGAAGAGGAGGAGGAAGAGGAGGAGGAAGACGAGGTGGTTTATTGCTGTAGTCTTTCGAGCTCTCGGCTTCGCGAGCTGGGCAGAGGCTGAAGCCTCCGGCAAGCAAGCATATATGGCGGGTGCCAGGGTCAAGCATGTTGAAATTAAGGCCGAGCTCGATATAGCCTTGCGAGGGAGGGGGGTGGGCCATGCCAGCGCCCCCAGGCGAGTTAGTCGAGCACGTCTTGGGTCCAACAAACATGCACTCACTTGCCCCCCCCCGTTGTTCCTCTTCCGCGCCCCCTTTCTTGCCCTGGTTGGCCGCGGTCGGAGATGTGCCCTGGCCGAAAACCTTGACAGCTGGTCTTGAGCCCTCAGTCGCACATTGCGGGGCAGCAGAACAGGATGGGCACCGCGTTGGGCTCCAAAAGCAGGAACCTCCCAAGCCAGATGAGCGACGAAGGGAAACGGTCTCGTCTTCACCGACGTTGGCGCGTCAGCTGTCCGCGCAAGTAGCCCGCGTAAGGTCGTGCGTGAGCGCCATCGTTTCCAATGCGGCATGCGACGCTGGCGGCCCGCATACGCCGCGGCGTAGGGTCGCCATGTCGTCTCGCGTAAGGCCCGTTTCTCCTCCCTCCCTCCCTCCCTCCCTCCCTCCCTCCTTCACCCCCCCACCCCTCCCCCCCTCCCTCCCTCCCTCCCTTCCTCCCTCCTTCCCTCCGTTAATCGCGGACTCTGCAGTGTCGCGGGGGGCCCTGGGGCTCCTTCAGGGTGGACCGGGGCCTCGTCGGGGCCGCTCCCTCTCAAAAACCATGTCCGAAGTTGGATACCCCACATTTTTCTACAATTTCAAGCATGTCGGACTTTGCTTCGGATATAGTTTCGGGTGCATGACATCGCGATTTCGGGCCACTTCCCAAGGTCAACCTTTTTCAAATCATCGATTCGAGGTGGTCTCGCAGGTCGCTGTCGACCATCGCGGTCGTCACCCGAGCAACGAACCTACGCATCTGTGAGGCTTCCGAGTGCCACTCTTCAACCACATGAATGACGCACTTGTGGCTGCGTAGTCTGACCGGGCCACCGCTGTTCATGTTCGTGCGAAACGTGCTATTGCTTATCTTGTATACTAGATATATTCGCTCAGATGTGCTCCTTCACACGTGCAAAAGGTCGCTGGGCAAAGTCCTCGGGGCGATGGGCTCGGAGTCAACCACGCGCCCGTGGATTCGCGCGCGCCTGCAAAGCCCACGGGCGAGAACCACCATGAAGCTTACACTTGCAACGTACCAGCACCGAGAACTGGACAAACACACGTTCAGAACGTTCGGAGGCCGCTTAGTCCTCTCCATCTCTGACTGACTGGGAAAGGCCAAACGCGGGAGGGACCGCCCCGTACGGACCTCCGACGGATCTTCGTCCTGAGCGTCGGGAAGTCGGCGTCATAGCAGGAGCCATCATACAAAGTGACATTTGCAACAAGCACAAACTGGGGCTGGTTTCCTGCCCATCTGCAGTGCCAGCTCTTCTGGAACTCACGCGACTGACTGGATCGGGCCCGAGTCGCATTCCATGCACCAGACATGGGTCGGGAGGAGGGAGGATGAGGTCGATGATCGCGGGTCGCGGATTCGGGGCGCCCTCGTGGCCGCACCCCAGGAGGGGTACGGGAGTAGTCGTTGTAAGTACGAGAGCCTGGACCTCCAGACGTCGGCAAGCATCATGATTGCCAGTTACTGCAGGTTTGGGTTTGAGCGCTCTGGAGGCCCACGTCGCGAACAAAAAAAACGCGGCGCCGGGCGTCGCGGGAGGGAGGGAGGTGGGGAGGAGGGAGGGAAGGGGCACGGGGATAGAGGAGGGTGAGAGGGAGGAAGCGGGGCGGGGCGATAAAGCCACAGAGCTCTGGCGCTGCGATTGCGCGTCTCTTGCTCTGCCTGGGCTCCAGGGAACACCGCAGGACCTCAGGATCCGAGCCACGGCTGCCAGGGATCACGCGGCACACGACTCCACGCCACCGGATTTTCTTGCTCGTGCGCTGCGAGTGGCAGGCCCAGAGGGAGGACGCCCATGGTCTGGGGCCCCCTTGGGGAGACCCCTCTCGGTCAGGCCACTGCTGCGCGGCCCTTCCTGCACGGTCAGGAGATTTGGCTTAGCGTGTCGCGCCGCCGGTTCTGGCCCACCGCGCTTCGGCGCGACACGCTAACCACGGCCCAGCTCCCGAGCCTTTTCCAGCTCCCCTCCCCGCGCAGCGGAGCGACACGCTATCCGCTCGCCGGGCATAGCGTGTCGCGGGGGCCGCCGCCGCGACACGTCAAGCAACAAATCCCGACCGTGCCCCTCCTTCCTCTTCCTGCAGGTGTCCGAGCAGTGGCATCTCGGCGCGACTGTCCCTTCCCCGCCCCCTCCTCCCAAAGGCCTGCCACCGCAGCCATGTTGGCTCAGCCGGATTGTCTGCCCTGTGCAGCTCGGCACGCCCTGTGGGGCCCCGGCGCTCTTGGCGCTTGGCATGGCCGCGGCTGGCAGGGTTGTCCAGGGCAGTGTCGTGGAAGCCCAGGGCCCAAGATACGTCCAGGCGACGGTGGTCGGACCCGGGCAGCAGGCCCCTTCCCCCCATCCTCCTTCCCTCCTCGAAGAGCCAACCACGGCATACACACAGTTTCTCCGAGCTCCGCGCGGATTTCTTGGATCGGCGCTGGGCCCCCTGGCGGCACCTGCGGCGCCTCCCCCAGCGCGCTCCGCGAACCAGGGAGGGGGGTCCAGCGCCGATCAAAGAAATCCGCGCGGAGCTCCGAGAAAGTGTGCTGATGCAATCGGTTCTTGCTCTATCCTCCCCTCCTCCTGCTGATCCTGCTGCTGTCCCCCCTCCTCCCTCTCGCTGCTCTCCTCCTCCTCCGCCGTGGAGGCAAAGGGGGCCCTCGGGCAAGGGTCCTTGATCCGAGGGCTCTCCCCAGGGCCGCTGATTCATCCCGAGCAGTTGTTCGACGGTCCCGCGGCGCGTGGAGGCCCCCGAGGGTCCAGGGAGACGGCGAAGAAGAGCGCCCACGGCCCCCTTGCCCCAGGACCTTCAATTCTTCATGCTGGACGTCCTCCTCCTCCTCCTCCTCCTCCTCCTCCTCCTCCTCCTCCTCCTCCTCCTCCTCCTCCCGACGCTGGCGATGCCGGCCGTGTCGTCACTGCCTCTTCTTTCTCCCCCGCCCCTCTCTCCTCCTTCCTGCCCCCCCCCCTCCCATCCCCTCCTCCTCCCCCTTCCCCTCTCTTCTTTGCTCCCGCCTCTCCTCCTCCCTGGTGGCAGGACAGCCGATGGGCGCAACCCTACGAGGGCCCTGGCAGCCGGTGGGCGCAACCATACGAGGGCCCCGGCGGCATGCCCAACACGCCGCAGCCCTACGTGGCCGCAGGTCCCTCCTGCCTTCCTTCTCCATATATGTGGATTCCTTCTGTTGCTCTATATATCTTTATATCTCTCATTCTCTCTATATGTATACATACATGTATTGCTATATCCATGTGCCGTATACATAGGTAGCATACATGTGTGTGCTTGAAGATGTAACTGTACACAAACATACGTATCTCTCGCTCTCCCTCCGTCCCTCCCTCCCTCCTTCCCTCCTTATATCAATGTGTTATACATATATGTATAACTGGAGTCTCGCAAACTGGAGCCTCGCAAACTGGAGTCTCGGAACTGGAGTCTCGAACAAATTGCACTTCGCGCGCAGCTGCAAGGCCCTCGAGTTGACTTCAGAATGGATGGAATTGCCTAACAGTGTCAGCTTCGCCTTCCTGGAACATCGCATCGGTGCTGCTGATGTGAGCCCTCAGCCTGGGCACTTCCGCTGCCAGCCAACTACGATGCACCTCCATCGGGTGGTTCGTCTTTGGAAGCTAAGGGATAATGTGTGCTGTCGCTTGTTCGTATGGCCTCACTTGCAATATGCCATTCCGTGCAGACGGTCATCACTTGAACATTGACATCTAGCACATTGACGTGCAAATACCTGTCAGTCTCCATTGCTAGCACGTCGGTTCCACGCACTCGGCGGAGTAGCATCCGCAACCAAACCTGAAACACACCAAGTATGGTACGCAGGTAGAATGCCATGCCTGAATTTGATAGACTCCAGGACCTCACGTCGTCTTTGGATCAAAGCGTCCACTGTCCAGCATTGCGCAGTCTTGAGACAAAGATGAACCCGCAAGCAAACCAGTTCGGCTCTACCCAATGCCACTGCCAGTCAGAACCTGTCAGCAGGTTTCGTTCCCAAGCTTGTTGCTGAACACCCATTGGTTTCCCGGAGTGAAGAGCAACACACCTGGCAGCTACTGTGTTGGATGCGGTCAAACAGAGCGCGCATTGCACGCAATAAGAAAAACGCCCTCCCTTTCACATCAAAATCTGTGATGCCCAGCTTGGCAAGCCAAACATTTCATTGAAACCGCTTCGTACGGATTTTTTCCGTAGGCGTGTGTGTGTTCTTCACCAAGCGCCCCAAGTGTTCGTACCATCCCACTGCCTAGCGAGAAAGGGCGGCTTCGCCGACTGTGGATCAAGCTTGGGGCGACCTCCCCATCTGGCTTGTGGGTCTGCATTGTTTACAACACCATTTTTACGATCGGCTTCCGGCACCCCGAAGAAGCAATGCGTATGCCGTCCGTTGACCGGAATGTGGGTCAACTGTTCCTTTATATCTGTCACTTTCTTCACGTAGGCTTCCACACAGACATCATTTGTTGGAGGGATTGTTGCCTGCAGACGCTGGTTGGTGCAACTTGGCCAGGATGAGGGCTGCCACCTCCTGTTCACGACCAAGCTGAAACCCCGCCCTTGTCCGTTTGCACTGCTGCTCCTCCCTTAGCCTCCAGCCATGTGCGAGCATGCCGGACTGCTCCACACATGTCACCATTTTCGGCCACCGGCAGTAGCATCCATTGTTTCCCGTATTTTTATTTCGACAGGCAGCATCGGCCAATATGTTTGCAAATTGCTCTTCGCTCTGGAGAACATCTTCCAAGAAACCAATTTGTTATATCATGTTTTCTTGTAATGGCTTAGAGTGTGGCGCGACCATGTAATGTCAAAGCTCCACAGAAATACCACCACTTGTTTTAAGTTATCCGAGGGTGTTGTTCTGCGAAGGTGCCAGCGAAGCACCCTAGGGGACGACCCTTCGAGCACCGCCCAGCAGGCCGTCACATGCGACACCTCTCCTCTACGCTTGCTCTCATGGGGAAAGCTCGCGCTGCCTTGGCGTTGTCTTGGGCCCTTGTGGGGTAGTCTTAGGGTCCCCTGGGTTCTGGTTTGAGCGCGCCCAACTTGTCCTTCTGCCTCCTCTCCCTGTCTCTTCCCTCCCCCCCCGCCCTGTTCCCCCCCCCCGCCTCCAGGAGCGTGCGGTGCGCCGACTGTCATCGGCACGCCGATCGGCACCCAGCAAGTGGGCCTTGCCACCCACGTGCGCGTCACCCCGCAGGCTCCTCCGCCTTCCCTCTCCCCGCCACCCGCCGACCCCCTCTCCCCTCCCTCTACCCTCCCTTCCCTTCCGTTCTCCTCATACGTTCTGTTCCCCCCCCCTCAGTCCTCGTAACTTTGGCTGCTACTCTTCTTCCCCCCTCCCTCCCGCCCTCCTTCCTCCTTCTGTCGCACCCTCCTCCTCATCATCATCACCATCAGCATCAGCAGCATCATCATCAGCAGTATCATCGTCATCATCATCAACCTCACAAGACAAGACACATAGGGGCCCACGGCGCTGAATGCAAAAAAGCATCATCATCATCGTCGTCATCATCATCATTATCCCTCTTCCCTTCCCCTCTTCCCTCTCATCTTCCTTATCCCGAGCCCTCCTCCCTCTCCACTTCTTCATTATCCTGCATCTCTGTTCCGCCTCCCTCCTCTTTCCCTACGTCCTCCATCTCCCTCCACCTTGGTCAGGTGGAGATGGAGGAGTGGGAGGAGATAATAGAAGTGCGAGGAGTAACAGGGACAGATCAGAGTGAGGGGGCCGAACGGTCATTCACTGTCCCTGGGTGCGTGGCTGAAGTCGGATTCCGCGGTGCGGATTCTTGTTGTTGATGTTGTTGTTTGTTGTTTGTTGGTTGTTGTTTGTTGTTTGTTGTTTGTTGTTTGTTGTTTGTTTGTTGTTGTTGTTGATGTTGCTGTTACTGTTGCTGTTGCTGCTGTTGTGTTGGTTGTTGTTGTTGTTGTTGTTGTTGTTGTTGTTGTTGTTGTTGAACTCTCATTCTTGAAGAATAATTATTGTTGATCCCCCCCCACCGGTGCACATTGATTTTTTTCAATTGAAGTGCCACCCCCGGGGCTCGCACCTTGTTTTTTCTCAAGGAAAGTCTTCCTGCTCAAACTGTGCCCCTGCCCCCCGGGCTACAACAACAACGGCTCCCGCCTGAGACTTCCTCGATTTTTACTCAGGACCCCCGCTCCCGCCTGAGACTTCCGCGCAATTTACTCAGGAAAGGCGCTCCCGTCTGAGACTTCCTCGCAATGTAATCAAGACCCCCGCTCCCGCCTGAGACTTCCGTGCAATTTACGTGGGAACGGCGCTCCCGCCTGAGACTTCTTCGAATTTTACTCAGGACCCCCGCTCCTGCCTGACATTTCCGTGCAATTGACTCAGGAACGGCGCTCCCGCCTGAGACTTCCTCGCAATTTAGTGAGGACCCCCGCTCCCGCCTGAGACTTCCGTGCAATTTGCTCAGGAACGGCGCTCCCGCTTGAGACTTCCTCGCAACTTAGTCAGGGCCCCCGCTTCCGCCCGAGATTTCCTCACAATGTACTCAGGACTGCGCTCTCGCGTGCGACGTCCTCACAAATTATTCTGGAATTGCGTTTCGGCGCTCAGGAACCACGCGCGCGCCAAGGACGCCTTCACAACGTGGTATCTTCCCTCTTCCTTCGTCCTTCCCCCTCCCCTTCCTCCCACTCTCCCTCGTTCTTCCCCTCCTCCTCTTGCAGGGCCCGCGCCAATTCCAATGGCGGGCAGAGAGATGTACGCCCCCGAAGGATTGTCCGCCCGTTCCGGTTTGCCCGTACGTCTAAGCCCGCCGGCCCCAGCAAAGAGAAATAATCCCCCCGAAAGGGGTGTGATCGAAGACGAAGAGGGCGGGTATCGAGGGTGTAGGGTATACGTGTTGAATGACTCGCGGGCAAGTAAGAGCGTACAGCCTTAAAATGGTTGTTGTTGTTGTTGTTGGTGTTGGTGTTGGTGTTGTTGTTATTGGTGGTGGTGTTGGTGTTGTTGTTGTTGTTGCTGCTGCTGCTGCTGCTGTTGTTGTTGTTGTTGTTGTTGTTGTTGTTGTTGTTGTTGTTGTTGTTGTTGTTGTTGTTTGTTGTCGTCGTCCCACCCGCAACCCGCCCCGCGACCTACCCGCGACCCACCCCGCGACCCACCCCCCGACCCACCCCGCGACCCACCCGCGACCCACCCGCGACCCACCCCGCGACCCACCCCGCGACCCACCCCGCGACCCACCCCGCGACCCACCCGCGACCCACCCCGCGACCCACCCCGCGGCCCACCCCGCGACCCACCCGCGACCCACCCGCGACCCACCCGCGACCCACCCCGCGACCCACCCCGCGACCCACCCACGCGACCCACCCGACCCACCCACCTCGACCCAAACCCACCCACCCGCGACCCACCCGCGACCCAAACCACGTTTCAAGGTACAAACCACCATTTTCGGCGCTTGCGGCGGGTTTTTTGGGCATTCCTTCCAGGTGGAGAGCCCGCGACCCACCCCGCGACCAACTCGCGACCAACCCGCGACCCAAACCACGTTCAGGGTACAAATCAAATTTTTCGGCGCCTGCGGCGGGCATCTTTTGCATTCGTTCCCGGTGGAGAGCCCGCGGCCCACCCGCGACCACGTTCAGGTACAAACCAAATTTTTCAGCGCCTGCGGCGGGCATCTTTTGCATTCCTTCCAGGTGGAGAACCCGCGGCCCACCCGCGACCCAAACCACGTTCAGTGTACAAACCAAATGTTTCGGCGCCTGCGGCGGGCTGCTTTTGCATTCCTTCGAGGTGGAGATGGAGAGCCCGCGGCCCACCCGCGACCCAAACCACGTTTACTGAACAAACCAACGCCGCACAAGCGCGGCGGCGGATTTTTGCATGCGGTCTGAGCCCGCAACGACCTCTTCAAGCCCCGCGCATCCACACCAGCCCGTCCAGCAACTTTGCCCTGGCGAGTTGCCTTGATCAGAGAAGTCGGTGAGCATAAAGTGGGAAAAAGGATTGCGTTGCCGTTATCTTGGGAAAGGAGGGGGAGGCAGGAGGAGTAAACAGGGGACGAGGAGGACGCATAAGAAGAGAGGATGTAAGGAGAACGTGGGGAAAGAGGAGGAGGAGGAGGAGGAGGAGGAGCAGGAGGACGAAGAGGGGGGAGAGGGGGAGGAGGAGGACGAGGAGGGGGAGGAGGGGGAGGAGGATGATGATGGACGACAATGGGAGGACGATGATGGAGGCCGATGAGGGGGAGGACGACAATGGGAGGACGATGATGAAAGGACGAGGGGGGGAGAGGGAGGACGAGGAAGAAGAGAGGAGGAGGACGAGGTGGAGGAGGAGGATGACGATGACGATGAGGACGAGGACGAGGAACGAGGAGAGGAGGAGGAGGAGGAGGAGGAGGAGGAGGAGGAGGAGGAGGAGAGCGCCATCGACAGGGAAGGTGGGGGCCACGAGGTCCGCCGGCTCGACGACGCCCGCGTTGCCCGCGCCCGCCCCCTCACTCTTATCCGCAATTGCGGGGTGCTACGTAATATTGGAGGCGAGGAGGAGCAAGACAAGGATGAGGAAGGCAAGGATGAGAAAGGCCAGAGGGGAAGGGGATTGGGCCAGGGCGACGTTGAGCTGGTCGAGAAGGTGGTTGGAGGGAATGAAGTGAGAGGGCGAGGGAGGATGATGGAGAAGGACGGATGCGGAGGACTCGCTCTCCTCACCCGTCATCTTCCGTGCTCGTCTTCGTCCCCCATCCCGCTCCTCCTTCGCTTCATCCTCCTCATTCGCCCTCCTCCTCCTCCGTGGCCATTTTGGCTCAAGGCTATGAACCGTCCCGACGACCGCGAATCTTTCGGGGCGACCTCAGAGCGCGAGGGAGGTTCCGCTTTGAGGCCACTCACCAATCCAGTCTTCTGGCGCCTAGCTATCATTGTGTGCCTTCACCGCGGGAGTTGGGTCCCCGCCAAGTCTCTTCCCATTCCGTCTGTGCTGCTCGTGATGGCTGATGGCGCCCCTGCTGGGGAGTTCTCGGCCTCTCAGGCAGAACTGCTGGAGCTCGCACCGACCTTCCCGTCCTAAGAAGGCAAGGCGGGAAAGGGCAAGGGCTGCGTCCCCGCTGGTATCGCCAGTTGTGCTGCTCATGAGCGGCGTGCTCTTCCCCCTCATGGCCAGCCTGCGATTGCCGTCGAAGATGACGACATGCCGCCGCACCTTGACGATGACGACGACGCCTCGGAGGACTATATCAAGCAGTGCTGTGCCGACACGCTCGACAAGATGCGAGAAGAGCTGGCCACCGACATCAGCAAGTCTCTCACCGCCACTATCAAGCAGAATATTGAGGTCCAGAACAAACCAACTCTTGAGTTGCTGGACCAGCTCCGCGCGCAGCTGGTTCAGCCGCCCGCGGACCTCGACCAGAAGATCCTCTCGATCGTCCGCCCCCAGCTCGACTCCACCGCCCGCCGCACGCAGTCGCAGCTTGACGCCCAGCAGGTGCAGATAAATGAAACAGACGGGCGCGTTGCGAATGTTGAGGCTCAGATGCTCGAAGTACAGGCCCACATGGGGGCACTCAAGAAGGAGCTCCACTTGGCTGAACAACGCCCCCGCGCTCCGCTCACTCAGCCGAAAGGTTTCGACAGGGAGGTGGGCGCCTCGCTGGTGGTGGCTATGGCCCAACGACCGACCACCACGCCTTGCGTCGAAGCTGAACTACGGCCTTGGATCGCGCCCCTCGGCCTTGCCGACGACCTCTACGACATTGTTCCCGTCGGCGCTGTGCCCGCCAAGAAGTTTCACATCCGCTTCAAAGGCCTCATCGCCGTCGCGCCTAGGATGGCGGCGAAGGTCATCGGCCCCACGCGCTCCGAGGGGGTCTGGGAGGAGTTCACGGCCGAGGTCCCAGGCAGCCCGCGCTGCCGCATCCACCTGGGCCCCGGCAAGTCGCCGCGCCAGATTCGCAGCGAAATCCTCCTGCGGGGGGCCCGTGGACTCACTGCTGAGCGCCATCCGAACCTTCGGTTGTTTACGGACAGAGAGCGTGCCACACTTTCCATCGGCTGGGATCGCATCATGCGCGTGGAGGTCCATCCTGGTAACAAACCTGCGGAGTTCTACTGGGACTCTCAACAGCTGGCGAAGCACGATCTCGTCAACGCCGAGCTCGTGGCGCTGCTGGCCCCCTCGTCGAACCTGAGGCTGAACCACAGTGGTGTCTTTGA